GTGATTTATGACAGAAATGTAAAAAAATGTCATTGCATAGGAACAGATCAAAGATGACTTTATGATGAGTGTTTCTATTACGCGAACTTCAAAAGATACTCGGAAAAACTCATGATGTCATAGCCTAGCACATAGTCATTTGCAGAAAATGTGCAATTTTCTCTCATTTTTATGCCAGGTGATTGAAAAGTTCGATACTGAGATGTGTGCGAAGGTTAATTCTATAGCTGTACACCAAAGCTGGAAAGTCCATTTGGATTTCACTGAGATTTTGGCAAGACATAGCTTGTAGACCTCTCTCGCAATTTGCTGTCGGAGTAGTCTGATCTTTATCTTACCGAATATGTGTGGTGGAAGTTTGTTGTCCCTAGTTTGTGTGCATAAGGCATGGAATATACAATGACTGCAGTATGTAGTCTCAGGCAGATATGGCTCTAGGTTCAGGGATTGTAATTTTTTTTTATAATTTCTGGCCGTCAGATTCTTTTATATTTATTCAGTTTGTTTGATGCTCAGAGTAGGATTATATGGAGACAGAGGTAATGTAAAAAAAAAAATTAGGTAGAAGAAATAGTTAATTTACTGAAAGCAAGGTTAAAGCTGCAGGTGCATTGAAATCTGAGTCTCTAACTTGATTGCAAAGGCATCAATACTTTGCTCTGTGGTAAAGGCTAGAGAAATGCCGCCATATATATTCTGGCAAGACAGAGCTTGTTGACTTTCCAGGTAAATTTTGAAAAGTTATTATTGGGTATGAAACCAATACAAGCTCTATATTGCCAACTTTGGGGGAGGTTTGTTGATCTTTGCCAAAGAAAAAATGCAGAGGCTCTAATTTTTTCCCTGTTTCCCTAAAGTATGAAAAAATGCCTTGAAATTGTCCTAGGTATAAGAAAATTTCAGAAAATATAGTAAGTCAAAGAAATGTTTGTACTCTCAACAGAATATGAGAAGCAGGGAAAAGCAATACAATCAATTAATTAGTATACAATAGTGTTTTAAGTGATATGCACAAAAAGTTTTCATATTTTTGTTTTCCCCAATTTTTTCATTATATAATACATAATGCAGTTTGAGTATAGTAGTACACAAAAGACATGGAGAAATACATGGAAAATGATAATAATAATTTTTTTTTCGTTCAGGTGTATCAGAGCCTTGTTAAAGAACCCACACCTTGATTGCCAAAAGATGCAAAATGTTATAATATGAATAATACCAAGATATCTAGCAATTTGGTTACAATTACATTTCATGATTTTAAAGTACTGTAATATTTACCTTATTTTTTTTATGATAGTGACATGTACAAGAGGCTGAATCACACGATTGAAGTACTGTTCGTTTTTTTTTTGTTGTACAAAATTACTTCCTTTTATAGTTTCTTCTGATGGTATTTTTCCTTCCCCAACAGACTGAAATGTGTTGACAATGTCGGTTGATCTGACTGAGTTGAAGCGGAGCGACTTCCCGTCATGTGTGCGGCTTGGACTCCTAAAACTGGGTAAGGCGTATTTCTAGAAATCAACACTGTGTATGGGACAGGAAAAAAGTCCGAAGCATAAAGACCATCTTGTTTAAATAGGAATGGAATATCTTGACTTGAATTTTTATTTTGTGTTGGGCTTTAGTCATTGGATGTATGATTTTTATGATTTTTTCTTGTATGTTTCTTTATGATGGTATATATTTCTTAGATTTGGTAATGTAGGGTACTGACAATGTAAGAAATAACAATTACTTTTAATGATTACTTGATAATTAAATTCTAGAATATGCTTGCTGTATTTATCAAGCAAAATGCAACCAATAAAATACTTGAATATCAAAGGTTTGAACATAGAGATTTGAGCATGTTATAGTGTACTATATGTTTTTTTTCTGCTACATCTTACACTCTTATGTACATTGTCTCAGTGATAAATAAACCTCTCATATCTGTTTAAAGAAAAAAATTGTGATATGATTTAAAGAAGTAATTGAATATTTGTATTCATTGAGTACAGTGAAGAAAAGGTATTAGTTAATACAGTATTTCCATACAGTTAGTAGAAAGATGGCTATTGGACCACAAATTTTATATATTACAGAGGAGGTGCTCCAGATGCCTCCAGTCAGCATCCTACACGAAGTCCAGCAGCACATCATGGATCACTACATATTTTGCTGTCGAGACTTTAATTCCTCCAAAATCAGGGTAGGTTTTGAATGGAAAATGATGGTGTGATTACTTTTACATAATTTTTCTGTACCTTGAATACATGGAGGGTTAAAGAAAGTATGAATGAAGAGGAACTTTTTTTTTTACATGGCAAGTGATGTAGTTGATACTTTTCAATTATATCTTCATTAGAATCACATGGGCTTTTCAAAAGAGAAGTCTTTGGTCATGAGGCCACTGAAATCAGTACTAGATGCTTAGTTATCATCATCATTATCATTTATATTATTATCATTTTTATTTTTATTATTAATATTGATGTTATTGTTATCGTTATTGTTATTACTGTTATTATAGTTATAGTTATAGTTATAGTTATAGTTATAGTTATAATTATTGTTATTATTATTGTTATTGTTATTGTTATTATTATTATTATTATTATTATTGTTATTGTTATTGTTATTATTATTATTATTATTATTATTATTATTATTATTATTATTATTATTATTATTATTATTATTATTATTATTATTATAATAGTTATTATTATTATAGTTATTATTATTATAGTTATTATTATTTTTGTTATTGTTATTGTTATTGTTATTGTTATGGTTATGGTTATCGTTATCATTGTTTTATCGTTATTGTTATTGTTATTGCTATTATTGTTGTTGTCGTCATCGTCTTCGTCTTCTTCATTATTTATTGTTATTGTTATTGTTGTTATTATTATTATTATTATTATTATTATTATTATTATTATTATTATTATTATTATTATTATTATTATTATATTATTAACACTGCTGTGGCTGCTACTCATTATTAATATTATGGTTTAGATTACATTTTCATCATTCATCGTCATTATCAACATCTCATAATTATTTTCTTGATTACCATCTCCATTATTTCCATATACCCTGTTTTTGCAATGTATAAAATGTGAAATTTTTTTTTGTATTGCACTATATAAAATCTTCTGAACATTCCTTGTAGGCTGTGGGGCCAGTGGAAGAGCTCGTGGTCGTTCGAGAACTGGGCCAGCACCTGGGAAAGATGGTGGACGCAGCGGCAAGGAACACCCTCTTCATCACCCTCTTTCACCCCTCTTCGCATGACCCACGGATGCCTCACAAACTGCGCATATTGTCTGCACTGGTTTCGCTTGCCATTGTAACACACAATGTCTCCGTGCTGGAGGCAACGGCTGTCTGGATGCAGGTTTGTAAATTTCTTTTTTATTACCATTTTACTATTTAGATTATATCAGGATTTTTGTTTCTAGTATGTTTGATAAACTTTCAGGAAAATGGGACAATAGACCTATTAGACATAGCAAATGCAACAGCTTCTTTCATGCAATGCCTGTACAAAATGCCATGCATAAGAATAGACCTTAATGAGGACTAGCTTGGATTTGAGAATAGGTACAGTTGAAAGAGTAAGTAATATAGTACCAAATATTAAAGTATGCAACATCAAAATATACCAAAATATACTACCCCTTGCTGGAAGTAGATTTTTACCAAAGGAAAGAAAAGAAAGAAAAAGAAGAAAAAAGAAAAAAAAAATCAAATCAAATTATTCTGTTTGTTTACATTCAACATTTGATAAAGACTTTAGGCACTTTCTTTAGCAAGAACACTTTCCTTAACAAAATAGTAGTTGATTTAACTGGTTAACAATATTCTAAAAATATGCACAATGAAAAATATTGGCATAATCCACACCTTTACCTTGCAATAGCCATGACTAGGATGAGAGAGAACCCTAACACAGTTTTACAAACTTAAGTAAATGAATCTTGCTTCACGGAAGAGTGAATTGACCTTCAACTTCAGAAGTTTGGTTAACCACATGAAATCCAGAACTAATATATAAATGTCAAACAAAATTGCAGTAATATTTTAAAACTTTTTATCAAGTAAAACATTTATATTAACAATCTGCAAAAGTGTCTTTTTTATATTGTTGTTTAAGGTATATTTTACTTTAAAATATATTTGAACCTTGACAAATACATATTTGTTACCTGCATATGTAACTATTGTTTTTACTTTTTAATGTTATTGCAATGAGAGCCTTCCCTACTTACAAATATAGTCACCCATTATTAGTAATTACCTTGACTTGTAGGCAGTTTCCAGTCTTATGAATCACATAATGTACAGTATTATCTTTATATTTGATTTTATTTCTAGAGTCTTGTTCCTTTTATCTTTGTTGAGTATGTGATGTGGATCTTAAGCAATACATGACTGTAGTCATCTTGCTCTTCTGTTAGAATGTTGTAACAAGTAAGTCTCATCTTTTTTTCTTGGGACAATAGCAAGTATGTTGCCTGAGTGCTTGGAGCGGGGAGGTTTGCCGAGGCCTAGTTCAAGACTACTTCCAGCTCACACCAACTGCACCCCCACACTTTGCTGCTGCCTTGAGGGCACTGCCAACTATGGCCCCACTCTTCACAGCAAATCTTATCACAACACTGTCACAGCTGTATGCCAAAGTTGGTAGGTTTATCATAGATTGGATGATGGTGATATTGGTTATGATAATGGTAATGATGCTTCTGATAATAATGATGGGTATTATGATGATAATGAAGATGAAAGCTAATCATATCATTTAGAAAATCAGAAATTTTCTGCAATATGTTCAAGGTTTATTTCACGATAAACAATTTTTCATGCATGCTTCTTTAGGTAGTGGCGAACCATGTGAACGGCCGCCAGATGCCCTTGTCTCGACAGTTGTGTGGTGGATGCAAGGTGCCCCAGGGTCTCCCCCTCACCTGGCACTGGCTCCTCTCACCCACCCACTCCCAGGGGTGTCTCTGCCCATGACTGCTGTGCCACCCATTGTTCCTCTGATGAAGTAAGAATATGGTTGTCTTTGGTATATATAGGTTTATAAAAAGATATACAATTATTTGATAGTGAATGCTTATTTATGATACATTTTCTGTTATTGAAGTTGATCACTTTTGTCCATGTTATTGGCAGTAGCAGTTGAAATGCTGTTGGCTTTTTAATGTGGTTATTTCTGTATATCTTTTGATGAGCTGAGAACTTGATATAGCCTCTATTCTATTATTTTGTGTATTTACTAGTTTCTTCTTACAATAAATCAGCAGCAGCATTACATAAAAGAATCATTTTTTAGAATTGTTGTTCTGAATATGTTACAATGCATTATGTATAGTCTGATCAATTGCTACAGTTTGAGTGAGCCCTTATACTATCTACTCATATGTAGTACACTTCACAGTGTCTTGAGAGGAATCACTAATGCCTTTGAAAGTTTTTTTTTTCTAGTATTGTCCACCAACTAAGATGGCTTTTATAATATTGCTGGCCTGCAGGGCTCACTGCCTTCCAAATTGTAAAGTGGAAGTTATGTCTGGTATGGCCTTACAATTTGACTCTATTGATTTACCATGTCCTGAATGTCATGAAGTCAGATATGATGGATCCTAAACTATGACAGGGAAAAGGCTTGTATTCTGAGAGAGGAAAAAGGCACTGAAGGAAATTTGTAATGAAAAGGGCAGACAAAAGCCACAACCTGACAACTTCAGTAAATGTATCCAGATGTGGTATATAAGTGTCTAAATGCATATTTTTCTTGTTAGTAATGTGACAAGGTCTTAACTCCTTCTGCAGTGACTGTATTAACTTTAAAGTTATTAGAGAAACATAAATGATGTATTAACTATATGTTAGTTTATAGATTTATATGAAAATCAATATTGAATATGTCAAATCAGCACTGAATCCGTCTGATCATTACATAATGCACTGGGTTATAAGACCGTTGCTAAGATATCAGAGTTTTAAAGCTCTGACTTCAAGGCAATAGTGTACAAGCACCACAGTTGAAAGTAGTCATATATTCTTGAACTTCAAAATTTCTGATTTGATAACATTCCTGACTTCCAGATGGTGTGCTGAATCTCCATTCTTTGAAAGTACTGATGCAGCCTCAGATGGCCAGGGAAGAAGAGCCAGTCTACCAAAGCTTTCTGATGGCGATGGTGCTTTTGAGAAAGGGGGAGGACCTCTTAAGGCGCCAATGCTAGAGAGTGGTGAAATGTATTCACAACTACATCTCTCCATCTTGCAGACATTGCAGAATGTACCATCTGTGAGGGCCCGCATGACACAGAAACAGGTAGTTTGAGGAGGGAAAATCGTTCATTTTCATTTTTTATATATATATATATATATATATATATATATATATATATATATATATATATATATATATATATATATATATATATATATATATATATATTGAGGCCTCCATGCTTTATCAGAGGTCATTGCATTCTTATTAATTATCATGCATTTTTCTGTAAATATGCTTTTTATGTGTATCACTCATACACTTTAAATAACTCCCTCTAAGAATGAGCAATCTGTTTTAAAATAGCATCAGAGTGTTAGTAATATACTTTTTTCCCATAAGAAATTTGATTCTAGTCCACACTTAGGATTCCTTTAACACGTGTTCAGTCATTCTTTACAAACAAAAATCTGTTTCATTTTCTTATTATAACACTCTTTTCCAGGTGTTATGCCCAAAACAGGTGACCAGTGTAGTAGATGCTGTGTGTGAGAGAATAAGGACTTGCAGCTCAAATGATGACAATGTGAACACCTCGCTTGACAGATTAGCGCAGACCATTTTGGTTGCTCTCCATACTGAGTGTCTCTCAGGATCCCTCAGTGAGTGTATAAGGGGAATGGAGCATTTTTTGTTTTATGATTTCAGTAATTTGATGTATTTTTCTTTCCTTTTTTTTTGATAAATAGTAAGTTAGTTTAGATCATATGGGTAAGTCATAAGAATACCCATATACTTCAGGGTGTGTGCAGTTGTATATATTAACATTTTTTCTAATCTTTTATTCAATCTCTCACCAAAACAATTTTTTTTTTTTTTCCAGGTGACATGTGGGATGCCCTGCACAGACTACCCATCAAGAACCGCCTCATCAACACACTCCTTAACTCACATGAAGCCAGGTGACCTAACATCAGGGTTTCTCTCGGGTCTTGGAACGAGAGGTCACCTACGAGAACTGGGTTAATTTGATTTTTTTTTTCCGCAATTTCTTTTTATGATACTTTACAGCCCTAGGTCATGGTTTGATTCTAGTATTGTATTTTTGTATGGGAAATTGTCTCTTTCATATTTTATACATCACAGTCTGTGAGAATAAAATTTTTGATAGGATGTCATAGAATAGATGATTTTTTTTTTCTTTATGGATGTAAGTTACTAGAATAAGTGATAGAAGGCAAATAAAGAGAATTCATATT